GTATAGATCCATATTTTCTTGACCTCTACACTAGTTTGAGGTCAGTGGTCAACTTCACGCCAATGCTGCTTTACCACTGGGGAAAGAGCCCCCTGTACCCATTGGGTACAAGGCTGGTTAGACCTCAGACCCGGTCCGGACGATGTCCAGAAAATTCTTGACCCCATCGGAATTCGAACTTCGACTCCTGGGTTTTTCCAGGTCGTAGCTAATCGCTATAGAGACTGAGCTGTCTCTTCTCTCAGTGTGCTGTTTAAGTTATCTTTTTTTTTTCATAGATTATAAGGGGCCTTAAAATATATCGACATCTTGAGACTGACGAAGAAATAGCGCATAAAGGGACATCATTAACCCCGCGCCATAGCTAAAGCGGTTAGTCACTGGCTTCCCACCGCGGCGGCCTGGGTTCGATCCGGGGGTCTGGTCAAGTGGGATTTGTGGTGGACAAAGTGGGGATGGGGCAGGTTTTCTCCGAGTACTTCGGTTCCTCCTGCCAATCTTCATTCCACCAATTGCTCCACAATCACCCTCACCTATCATCTGGGGCTGGTACAATAAGCCAGAAGTGGCCGCAGTACAAGGGACGTAGTCTCACCCACTAGCAATATAGAAAAGCAACAATGTTACCAACAGAAAGGGAGAGTGACGTGGCAGTGGGTGTAACTTAGAATAAGGATCACTTTTCGCATATGCGGACGTTACTGTTAAGGGTGAGAGTGGATAAGTTACTGTGCTGGTGGAAATACGTACATCTCATCACAGTGATGATACTAACAGAAATGGTACTGACCCAACGTCGTTATGGATTGGGTAGCACTCCGGCTTTGCTTTCTGGAGATCCTGGATTCAAATTCTGGCCCGATAACCAGCTGTCATGACAAGGATTTTTGTGGCTTTCCGCGATAGTAGCACCTCCTGTCACTTTGGCATTAAAAAACAAACTACATGGTCTGTATTCCGCAAGCGAACTGTACCGACCGAGCAAACGCCGCTTACCGGCGAAGTTAGTGCCAACTT